ATATATACATTATGTGTGTGTGTGTGTGTGTGTGTGTGTGTGTATGTGTGTATATATACAGTACGTGTTTGTGTGTGTGTGTGTGCATGTGTGTATATATATATAGTATGGGTGTGTGCGTGTGTGTGTGTGTGTGTGCATGTGTGTATATATATAGTACGTGTGTGTGTGTGTGTGTGTGTGTGTGTAAAGTACACATGTGCGTGTGAGGTTGATGTGAGTGTTGATATTGTGCTGTAGGTGGTTAGTTGCTTTTCTCGGCTCTGAACGGAAACCACAGAGAAAAATTACACATAACTCTGAAGTAATGAATTTAGGTAAATGGGTGCAGAGCCAGTGGTGGTTTTGTAGGCAAACATTAATGCCTTGAATTTAATGCGAGCAGCTACTGGTAGCCAGTGCAAATTGATGAACAGAGGTGTGACATGCGTTCTTTTCGGCTCATTAAAGATTAATCTTGCAGCACACACACGTACTGTATACACACACACACACTCACTAAACCTGACACACACACTTATGCTGAACATATAATTAGTCCTGTGATTTGTTGTTCTCAGCAGGAGTTACAGATGATTGTTCAGCGCTCTCGTATAGAGTTACTGATCGTTCATTTAGTGATACAGTTAAAATCACTAGAACACATTTCTCAATATTTAAGTCACCTTTTAAATGTAAATGTTTCACGTGTTTTCATTACAGCACAACATTATTCCTGAGAATCAAATGAAAAGACTAACACTGTGTAGGGGTTCAGTTTTTGTAGTATCTCTTTGTTTAGATCTGTAATATATTTCACTCTGGTATTACTGTAGGAACAGATCAGAGCTGTGTATTATTGAGTTTTGTATTATGCAGGAGTTGAACTCAAGTTGATCAGGATTGTAAAGAGCATGTAAACAGGTCTGTAGCTTCATTGAGTTTTGCTGTGTTTGTGTCTGAGTGAGAGAAGAGTTCATGTCATTTGAAAGATGTCTTCATTGAATGTATTTTGTGCCGAAGCGATGATAAATGATCCAGTTTATCCACACAGACGCTGTTAGAAGAGTTTTAGTAAAACTGACCTGAGTGTTGAGAAACAGGGCCTATAGATTGTAAAAAACTCAAATAAAATCCTTTGTTCTGTGATGACCGTTTAAAGAACTGACAGCACTGCTATTAGTAAAGAAAGACTTTATTTATTTGAAGCATCAACACAAGCGACAAACACCTACATCTACAGGAACGTGAAATCAAATGACAGATTAAAGATGAACAGTTTTCTGTTCTTCTGCTAATATCTTCAGGTCAGACAGATTGCTTGTTCTTGTTTTTGCGCTGCGCATGCAGAGTGCTGTACTCATCCGTACGCGTGTTCAGCGGCTAAACAACATACAAACACACAGATAATACATGAACCAGTGTAATTACCAACATTAATTATCTGCATTTAATCTGAACTCATTCCTTTAATATGATGATCGTCTTGGGAGTCCCTTTCCTATATAGTATTGGGTATTATATCTTTCTATATCTATATCTATCTATATTTATCTCTCTCTCTATATATATATATATATATTATGCATATGTACATTTAAATTTTTTATACATTTTTATGTATTCTTCTATGTATACAGACCCAATTTATACTGTAAAATGTTTTAATATTATTTATAAATTTTTTTTAGAATAAGCATTTCTGATTATCTTTAGTTTCTATTAATATATTAATACAATAATGTCATTTTTTCTACCTACCATTATCAGAAACACAATAATTAGACTGTAAATAGAATAAACAATTAGATGTATAATTTCAGACCAGTATTTGGAAAGCAGAATGAAACCCTTATAATGTCAGTTTCAGGATATATTTTAACTGATTTATTGTTATTATTACACTACAATTTTCTAAATGTTTCACATACCTCCTCACACTCTCAGACTCCTAAATAAAAATACTTAAATAGTACATAATGACATATACAGTACATTTATATATATATATATATGTGTCCCTGCAGCACAAAAGCAGTGTTAAGTCGCTGGGGTATATTTGTAGCAATAGCCAACAATACATTGTATGGGTCAAAATTATACATTTTTGTTTTACGACAAAAATCATTAGGATATTAAGTAAAGATCATGTTCCATGAAGATATTTTGTAAGTTTCCTACCGTAAATATATCAAAACTTAATTTTTGATTAGTAATATGCATTGCTAAGAACTTCATTTGAACAACTTTAAAGATGATTTTCTCAATATTGTGATTTTTTTGCACCCTCAGATTCCAGATTTTCAAATAGTTGTATCTCGGCCAAATATTGGTTTTGTGGTCCAGGGTCACATATATAGTTCAATAACATTTCCCTGTTTTTATAGACTGAATTGTATCACACCAGGTCAAGTGTGTCAAACGCTGGTACCTGATAAGTGTCTCCTCCTGACGGAGTGTGATTACTGATCAGAGCCTGTTTGTCAGAGGCTGAAGAGAGAAACACAGACAGATGAACCAGTGAATCCTGATTGCATTATAATGTAATCATCGTAATCATCGTGAATCCTGATTCACTGATACTGATGATGATCGTGATCGTGACGCACCTTTATTCCCCTGATAGCCGCCTCTGGTTGTGGGTTGAGCGCAGATGGTGTAAATGGCCCATCCGATCAGAGCGGTCGCTATTACATCGGCCCCGAGAACAGTGAACACAGCCCCAATGTCCAGCTCGATCAGATTCTCACTGCCTGCACACACACACACACAAACACATGCACACACACACACATATATACACACACACACA